GGATACTCTTGTTATTTAGCCTATCTTTGGTGAAGTTCGATGACACTGAAACAACCGTACCTTTACATCTCCACTGCCGCTGTGCAGGTATACAAGGGAAGGATGCCAAATGGAAAGAATGTGGCAGTCAAAGTGATGCAGATGACGCCGACATGCAATGTGCTGAAGGTGTTTATCTCTGAGGTGGAGACGCTGTGCCGAGCTGAGCATCGCAACCTTGTGGAACTGCTGGGGTGTGCAGCTGGAGATAACAACCACCTGGTACTGGTGTATGAGTACATGCCACGTGGCAGCTTAAGAGACTACTTGCATCATCACAGTGGAATTCGACCACCACCTCCCGTGGGACTTGTCCAAGAACAGCATCTTGTGAATCCTCCTGGTTATAAAGGGGAAACCGTCGTCAAGGGTAGCAAATGTTCGGTTTCGTCTTCTCAGACACTGTCCCATTCAGACGAGCTCGAGCTCCCTCTTGTTGGAGATGAATGTCCTCCTAGTGAGAATATACTCCCTACTCTAGGATGGAACAAGCGCATGTCTGTTGCACTTGATGTAGCACAAGGGATCAAGTATCTTCATGTTGACTGTGTTCCTGCAATCATTCACCGCGACATAAAGTCGAGCAATATACTTCTAGATCAAGACTTTACTGCTAAGGTTGGCGATTTCGGGCTGTCGAAACTGCTAGGAAAGGACAACTGGGACTCAGAGCACCAACATGCAAGCACCACGAGTGCCGTTCGAGGATCGCTGGGGTACGTTGACCCTTCTTATGTCACAACCGGGAGAGTCACCCTGAAGAGCGACGTCTATAGCTTTGGTGTCTTGCTCATCGAGCTTCTTACAGGCCGCGAGCCTCTCGATCCCACCCTACTGGCGAATGAAGGCAAGGGGCTGATTCGTTGGGCCCTGCCTCACCTGGAAAATGGGTGCGCTGAACTTATCTTGGACCCCTCTCTCAAAGGAATGGCACCAATTGGTGCTGTGAGGGAAGCTGGAATCGTTGCTGCTGCATGTGTTCAGCCACAAGAATCCGAAAGGCCTTCAATGGAGGATGTTGTGGAACAGCTCAGACCCTTGGTTAAGTGGAAAGACACCTCTGGTTTATACACGTCGAGTGTTAGCCCTCCTCCTGTTGAGGAGTCGTATATCTCGTCGGTTACCATTGAGTCATCCCACGGTTGGAGTTGCTCCGGAAGCGACTCTACATTGAAGAAAGCTCCGCAACCGTCCATTCATTCTGCCGTGAGCGAGGAATATGACCACGATGACGGATGGAACTCGGAGAGCGAGACCCTCGTGGTCAAGACAAGCAAGGAGAAACTGGAGAGGTGAATTGCAGACCAGCAAACACTGCTCATTTATGTCCATTCTTATGATCCACTCTTCATATCAGGAATCCTCGCACTCCCCCCAACCCCCACCCTTCTCTCTCTCTCTCTCTCTCTCTCTCTCTCTCTCTCTCTCTCTCTCTCTCTCTCTCTCTCTCTCTCTCTCTCTCTCTCCCCCAACTCCTCCTGGGACTCTGAGAGTGTGAACATGGTGTTAATGTTCGGAGGTTCTTCAGGGGAACCTTTTACGTAAAGGGGAGATAACATTTACAAAGTGGGATGCTCGCCCATGGATTTCTCAGCAATCCAACCATGTTGCGGCATTGTTGCCTGCAGTTTCTAAGAGAATAGCATAATCCCATAACCATTTTCCTACCACTGAAGCAAGTTCAGGAATTGGCACAATTGGGTCCTCATGGTCCAGAGGGACCATTCCTTAATGGTACCATGTGGTCCTAGTTGGATCATTTTAAGTCCTAGTGGGATCATTTTTAGGTCCTACTGGGATCATCTGGACCTACTAGTTGGAACATAGGGTCCTCCTGGCATGGAGCACACCTAGCATCCGATTGGGTTGTTCTCAAAAAAAAAAAAAAAAAAAAAAAAAAAAAAAAAAAAAGGAACAGTGTTCCAGTGCTTGAACTGCTGAAGAAACCTATCCTGGCCTAGAATAGAGAGTAACCAAATCCTTCTACTGATCAGCTGAGCCCTGCGGAGAACACGTCCCACTCCATATGTCTTCTCCCCTCCTGCCCATGGTTTGGGCAGGACTTCTCCGAGCAACACTCAAAGCGACACTGGGTGGGCTCACGGTCAACTGGTTCTGAAAATTTAGTCAGCAATGACACAAAAAAAAAAAAAAAAAAAGCCTGGAGTTAAGTTGAGTATAAGAGGTTTCAAGTTGAATGCGGCCAAGGTATAGAATGCGGCCTCGCGGTGGTCCAGTGGGACCATTTTCCATGAATGCGGCCACGATTTTCTGATGCATTCAAGCATTCCAACATAACTGCCATTTCGTCAAAATGGATATTTTCAAAAACTTTTGAACGAAATTGAAACCGAGTTTTTTGGCCTAAAACAGGTCCAAATTTTTGGCTCCTGAGGGTCCAGCGTTTTAAGAACGCTGGACCCCCTGGATGTATGTGGACTCAACTTGATACCTGATACATTCAGGGAGTCTGGCGTCAGGAGCAGCAAATTTGGACCTGTTTTCGGCCAAAAAAACTCGGTTTCGATTTCGTTCAAAAAATAAAAAATTTAAAAATGTCCATTTTGACGAAATGGCAGTTACATAATCTTGGCAGCGGCAAAAGGTTGTCATAACTGCAGTCGTTGGGGCCTGCGCTGGTACTCCATGTTTGTTCCATGAGACACGGGACAACAATGTGTCCCACGAAACATTGGCCCGCAATATATTCCCATGAAAAATGGGAAGATGACAATCGGTCCCAAGAAACACAGAACACAGGACGACGACAATCTGTCAAGACAGATCTGAGACTTTTTTTTTTTTTTTTTTTTTTTAAGATAAACACTCCCTCTAGTGCTAGTGGTGCTGGTTAGAGCAGACACCGCTATCACCTGGGAGAGACTCCATCTATTGGTGGGGAGCATCACCTGCTGGAAAACGGGTCCAGCGTCCCTTGTACATAATGAATCAGAAAAACAGAGAACTTGGCAGAAGGGTTAAGAAAGTATCGGGATAAGGCCTGCCAGCATTGATTACTCTGGATTCCAGAGGATTAACTGAGCAGGGTTTTTTTTTTTTTTTTTTTTTTGAAAGACATGCTCCAATCTATTCGTGGGGAGCAGCACATGCTGGGAATCGGGCGCAGCGTCCCATATGAAGACATGTAAAAACAATTTATGAACAAATTGAGGTACCGAGGCCATTACCCGGTTTCGGCTTGAGAGTATCCTCCAAGATCATGAACAAACTACAGAAAATCGGGATAGATGATGAGAAAATTACGAATCCTTTTTTATGATCGCTAAACACCTCCTGAAATCCACCGCAATTCTCTGAACACTCAAGTATCTAAGGGATTTCCAACAGATGATAACAAAGCTCACCAAAACTGACTTATTCTTTGACAAACTCATCCAGGCCTCACGCCCTAGGATGCCCCCACATAGCATCCCCAGATCTCTCTACAAGGCCTCATGCCCTCACAGCCCCTCGTCGTTCTGGCATCGAACAACCACGGATCCTGAGAGATTCTTCAAACTACCAGGATATAGAACAGTCTAATTCTGGCATCACCCCAGCTCCGGCCAGTGTCACCCCATCTCAGTCACAGGGCATCGAACAACCACGGATCCTGAATATAACAGTCTAATTCCAGTGCAGCTTCTTACAAACCATCAGCAGTCCCTCAGAGTCCTGAGAGATTCTTCAAACTACCAGGAATAACAAGGGTGCTTGTTTTGAAAATTCCAGAAAGAATCAGAAAGAGTCCCAACCAAATACAAGCAAAGGATATAAAAATCCCCCCCTTTCCCCTCATCCCCCTGCCTGACCGCTGCCTCCACCGAAAAGGACCGCCCCTGATCACGAACACTCCTCATCAGCCCCAACTTGGGACAGACCCATTTCCCCCCCCACTCCCACAAAGGCATACAGTTCCCACCCAAAGTATGCCTCTGCCAACCCCTTGCCCTTATCTGCCACCGTTGGGATATGATGTTGACCCATACATCTCCCCCAGCCCCAGAATAGAGGATCCCCCAAAATCTGCCCCGTCCCCCTTCAGGGTAATCACCTCCCTCCTTGTGAAGCCCCTGCAGAGTAGAGCTCTCCCCCTTAAAACCAACCCACCCCGCCACCAAAAGTAATTTTATATACTCTTGAGAGGAGAATCAGAATTCCGGACGTTGCTATGGATGATTTCTTCCCCCTCCCCTCCATCTCCCCCTGTCCCTCTGCTGCCTCCACCGAAAAGGACTGCCCTGATCACAAGCTCTCCTTATCGGCTCCAACTTGGGACATACCTGCTTCCTCCCCCTACTTCCACTAAGGCATCCAGTTCTACCCAAAGTATGCCTCAGCCAACCCCTCACCCCTATCTGCCTCCGCTGGGATATGATGCCAGCCCATACATCTCTCCCAGCCCCAGAATAGGGCATCCCCTCCCTCCAGGGCATTTCACCCCCCACCTTGTGAAGCCCCTGTGGAGTAGAGCTCTCCTCCTTAAAACCCCAGCCTCCCACCCGCACAAAAATAATTCATTAGTGCGCCCAACGGGAAATCAGAAATTAATAGTGGAGAAAAGAAAAACGAGCCTCAGGAGTTTTAGGAAATTATGATGGAGAAAGGTAGATGAGATTTTTTTTTTTGGATTTGGTGATGATGATGAACGGCATCCTGAAGATGATGATGATGAGGAGGATGATGTTGATGACCAGCTCAGCTGCTGATGTGAAGGGCAAACAAGGCCTTGAAGAGCAGCATCTAATGATGACAAAATGATAATGATGATAGTAATGATGAAAATGAAGACAGAATAATGATACTGATCATACTGTAGAGCAGTACCAACAGCGCCCTATGATTACAAATTGATGATGATGATGATGATGATGATGATGTCGATGATGATGATGATGATGATGATGATGATGATGATGTCGATGATGACGCATGACGCCCTGTGATGATGACGCACGACGCCCTGTGATGACAAAAGGATGATGATGGTGCTAATGACGAGCACCTTTGATGATAACCTAATGATGATGATGATAAGGGTGAGCAGGGCCCTATGACGACGAGCTTCGCCAACAGCGCCCTATGATGGTGAACTATTGATGATGGTAATGATACTGACGGAATGATAATGATGATGCTGAAACGAGCAGCCCTGGCGGCGCCCTATGAAGACAAACTGATGATGATGATCATCATGATGAGCCGCATCGATAATGACGCACCTTGATGTTGATAACGAGCGGCACCTTGATGATGATGATGGTGTTGACTCGCCACGACCGTTGATGATGATGGTGATGATGGTCACGATGACGAGCAGCACCCTGATGATGATGACGAACCCTGATTGTGATGATGGTGTCGAACCGCGCGCTGTTGATGATGGTTCTGGTGATGCAGCACCCTGATTATGCTGAAACACCCACTTCCTCATGATTACAGTTGCCACTGCACTCGGACTTCAGTTTACCAAGGGCTGACTCTACTGTACTCCACAGGCGTCGAGGTAGCCAACGCCTCTCAGGCCATATGCCACGTGCAAAAACCCAGGGCGGGGCGCAGCGCTCCCAGTAGCGCTGCGCTCCTGGCCATGCAATTTCAGAATTACAGTCGGACTCCCCCAAATACCACACACCTACCTACAGGAGGGTGCAAATGACACAACTACAACTATGGTGGGTCAGCCCAACACAACGGACTCACACACTTGCAACTCGAGATGGAAGGTCAACCACCTTTATACAATTGAATTCAACTCCAAACTTCAATTAAACTCCCTCCTCCGCAGTCCTGCCACTCGCTGCCACTAAGTATGCAAATCGGAGTTCAACGCAGCCTTCATATGCTACAAGCTCTACTACAACAAGCATGTGTCCTCCCCGTCTGATTTCCCGGATCCATTCCCTTCCCACCCCATCGCCCTGGTGGAAGTTCTTTTACTTGATCATGCACCAAGACACTGGAATAAGCTCCCCCGGTGTCCCCACCGGGAGGTCCTTACCCAATGCTCCTCAGTTTTTTTTCAGATTCTCCAGACTTTTCAGATTCCCAAGCGCTGCCTCTAAGGGTAGGAAGGGGGCTAGGTGGTCTCCCAAACCCCTCTCACAAACTTACCACCTGCTCAGTTAATCCCATGGTGACCAGGGCAATCAATGCTGGCAGGTTGACTCTCTCTCTCTCTCTCTCTCTCTCTCTCTCTCTCTCTCTCTCTCTCTCTCTCTCTCTCTCTCTCTCTCTCCCCCCCCCCCCTGCACACGATCTCTCTCTGAACATCAAAGTGACTCTCCTACTCGATGGCTCACTCTTCACCGAGCAAAAGCTCCCTCCGACAAGCCCCAAGCAAAAGCTCACTCCTACAACAGCCCGAAAGGAACAGAAAAGAAGAGCTACCAGATGGTAACACGATTGCCCTTCTACTTCAGCTATGGCTGCCTTCTTCACCACACAGCACACTGCTTGATTTCATGAACCAGCACCACACTGAATGAACCCTCAAAACGAATTCTGTAGTTCTGTTTCCCGGGCACTTCCCCCGTTGCCCCTGGAACCTTCTAGACAGACACTTGCTGTAGGCACACTTACGGCATGAATGGTACAAAGCATCGGACTTTATGCACACACAAGAACAGGTCTCGGGTTCAAGACTCCACAGGCACAGTCAATGCTCACAAGCACACGGTGCGTCAACAGGTAGGCGCACAGTTAAGTCGACATGGAGGCTCCGGGTTCAAACTTCAGTAGCAACAGCATACAATACAGCACAGCAGGCAACAACAACAGCGACAGGTCCCGGGATCAAGTCTCGGCAGGCTAGGAAGGTGAAATCCTTTCATAATAAAAAAATGAAGGGAAATATGATTCAAATATCTGTGGTGCCCTTTTTCTTCTCTCTCTCTCTCTCTCTCTCTCTCTCTCTCTCTCTCTCTCTCTCTCTCTCTCTCTC